TCATTCATTCATTCATTCATTCGCATTTATTCATTCATTCATTAAATATCTAATTTTTTACATAGACTTTAAAGGAGCTTGAAAATATATTCTTGGAATTTTATGTTAGTTTAAATAAAGTTTAACCTTAAAATTGAATCTTAAAGTTAAATAATAAATAATATTAACTTAATTACACACACCACACGCACACACAACACACACGCACGCATACACACACGTACACACGTACGCAGAAATATAAAAAAATTTATACATGACAGAAACCAGGAGTGCTAAATTTAAACGTACCAAAAATAGTACTTGAGAACCAAATTAAAGTAGTAGTAGTAGTAGTAGTAGTAGTAGTAGTAGTAGTAGTAGTAGTAGTAGTAGTAGTAGTAGTAGTAGTAGTAGTAGTAGTAAGAGAGAAAAAGAGAGAAAGAGAGAGAATGGAAAAGAGACGAACAAGAAAGAGAGAGAGAGATCAAGCAAGAAAAAGATTACAATAATTAGCAATAGAAAAGAGGTGTTGTTGAGAGAAAGATGGAGGCATAAAGAAAGACAAAGAGAGAGAAAAGAGCAGAGTTGTTAACGAGTGTAACAAATTGGGAGATGAAATCATGAGCGCTGAAAAAACTAATAAAGTTTAAAGCAAACTTGGCGAATGTGGGATAGTCAAAAAAGTCTCAGAGTTGTCCTTATTACAGACTTAGTCTTCTTGGATCACCATAAAAAGATCTTCGTTATGTTTTAATATTTTCTGATTATTATTACAATTTATTATTCTATTGCGAAATAATTTGCAGCTGTTAATGGAGGAAGATGAAGTAGGATTTGTAAAATTTTCATTCATTCATTCATTCATTCCTTCATTCATCCATCCACCCATCTATTCATTCACTTAATCATTCATCCATTCATCCATCCATTCATTCATTCATTCATTCAGGTTGTAGCTAGGCACCAAATTAATCTAGACGGAGATACGTATGGCTTCGGGATTAAACACGCGGGGGTGGGTATAAATATAAAAAATAATAATAATAAAATTTTTATTGTTGTTATTATTATTATTATTATTCAGAAATGGTTTACAGATGAGCAAAAGGGGGCACTAAGAGCCAAGCTGGTCAGTTTCATTCATCCTCTCGTTCATCCATTCATTCATTCATTCATTCATTCATTCATTCATTCATTCATTCATTCATTCATTCAATCACTCATTTCGTTTGTTAATTGATTGATTCATTCATTTGTGAATACTTTCTTTCGTTCGTTCATTCATTCGTTCAATTATTGAATCATTCGTTCAATTATTGAATCATTCAAACATTCATTCAAACATTCTTCAATCAGCTGATTCTGCAGAAGACCGAAACATACAAAATCAACGATGATTGGGTCTGTACAGATGAAAAGATTAAAAAATTTAATTAATTCTTTTATTCATTTATTGGTTTGTTCATTTATTCATTCTTTTAATACTCTCCCCAAAATTTTATTCGTTCGTTCATTCGTCGTCTGTTCATCTGTTAGTTCATATACTCATTCATTCATTCATTCATTCGTTCGTTTATTCCATTATTCATTTATTTATTCATTCATTTATGCTATCATTCATTCATTCATTCACTCTATCATTCATTCATTCATCAATTGAAAAATAAACTCATTTCATATTGAAGAACAAGATGGATATGGATCATAGAGAACAAATGATGAAGTTTCTCGTTGGTCCTGATGATGATGATGACGATGACGATGATGGTGATGATGATGATGATGGTGGTGGTGGTGGTGAGAATGATGATGATGACGACGGCGATGATGATCAAGTTGAATTATCAATAAAATTTTAGTTTAACCAGTAGCTATTTAAAATACAATTATTGTGATAATGATGATCACGACGATGGTGAATT